AGTAGCACATCAAGTTGACCAGCTCGTTGTCCACTCCAAGAACTGCATCCACTGCATTTCGTTGTGCTTTGTCGGCATCACCCATGACGAAACGAACAGCGAGTTGCTTTGTTGTCACCGTTGTGTACATACGCCTCAGCATTGCAAGCGCTTCGGTGAAGTGTTGTTCGGTTTGCTGTGAAAGTATGACAAACGCTACCAGGTGGAAGGAACTCATGCAGTCTGAGATTCCGACCACCATGACAGGATAGTCAACCTGACTCAGCTTGTATGTCGCATCAAGATGCATGACGTAGGCGTCCGGTTCGCGGTCTAGCCGCAGTAGGAGCTGCTTAGACGACACACCAACAACGAACGAGTCGGTGTCCGAGCCGCGACCAACGATGGGTTCTCCCTCGGCGTTTGATCGCCACGTGAACGTGAAAGGCTGCGTCAACTCCTCGGTTCCTCGAAATGCGTGCTCGCGCACTTTAGCGGTGACGTCGTCGTGGAAGTCGCTTCCGCCCAGATTAGCGCGGCGGAAGTGCTGTACGAATCGCTGTACCATCGCCAATGTGGGCATTGTTGCCTCTCCAACCTGGAAGCGTCTGACGATTCCATTGTATATATTCATAGGCTTGTGGTTGTAGGCGCACATGTCGCGCGCAAACGCCTTCATTTCCTCGGTGAGATGAGCGCGTCGAGTTGGGCGCAGCGACGACACGTGCTTGTTGCCCTCCGAGACGTTCACTACGTTGGACAAAATGCAAAGCTGCACTCTGCCCTTCCACGGACAGCGCGCGTAGGGCGCCACGGCCTTGCAGGCCGTGCACTTGCAGAGCAGAATTCTTGTGCGCATGTTATGCGGCGTAGGCTCAGCACACAACGAGCAAGGCGACAGTCCGCTCATGCTCACGGTGTAAGCCTTGAGCGAGTCCAGGAGCATGTCGCTATCGTAGGACGGGTAGTCTTTAGCCAGAAAAAACCAGTTGATCTTGGCGCGAGTCATGGTAGAGAAGGCTGTGCGTAGAGTGCTTCGAATGGAGGTGTTGATGGTGCTCTTTTGAAATCCAGAGTGCTAGTGGTGACAGTATCTAATCGTTGTATACGCATATAGATTGGCTAAAATGGAGTGTTCTAAGAGCGCTAATTGGCTGGTCTGACGTAAGGTGCTGCTGAAGCACTCGAGAGTGATATTTGCATGAGTGGTGGTGAGAGTGGGTTCTTGTGAGGTGCACCAACCATCAATTTGAGTGGTAGGGATCGAGTATGGGTGTAAATGATGCAAATTAGGTGTAATTCGTACAATTTGAGTGATTTTAGGGCGTTGTCTATTCGATACTGAAAAGGGGGAAGGCACATCATCCGCCCGCGACGACGGCGACAGATATGCTGCCTCGAGTGAAAAAAGTCGCAATTCTGTTTTGCGTTTTGGTCTAGACACAGTTGGCGAGAATAGCACAACGTATCTTCGTACCCTCAGACAGGGGCACGGGAATCAACTTGTCGTGGCCTGACTCAGTTCAGTATATAATGTAAGTCAAAAAGTGAATTTCATGACGACGAAATGACTTTACCTTTCAAATCTTCATACACGTTGCGTATGCTCTGGATGGTATGCCAGTGAGGGGCGGAGAGTGGATGCGGGTTCAAAATCGTGTCAATGACATTTCAACTCAAAATTCGTGATGTGCTTACGCGTTAAAGAAGCGGCAAATATTCTTGATATTCCGCATCCTGGAATGCCCAAACCCAACAGATGGTTCAGAAATCGAACCCAGAAAAAAACAGCTCGGAAAAGTACGTGTCGAAAAATAAACCGTCACCTAATCAGCAAGGTGGTGGAGTCAACACCAAATACACTGCAAATTCAGATGCTGTTGTA